TTTCTTTTTCAGAATTATCAATTACCGTTTGCAGATTATTTTTTTTAGGTTTGTTTCTGAATTTTCACACCCTTTAATTTTATTTTATGTGATTTATTAATTTTTTTTTTAAATTCAGTTGCGCCTTTGCCATTCTGTACCTATTAAACTATTGACCCACCCCTAATAATAATTCACTGAGCAAACTGAGCATATTATGGGTCTCTTGTTAATTCATTAACAAAAGGGGTTACAATACCTGCACTTTATCTGGGATTGGACTAAGTTTATTCGAAATTATATACGAATTTTGAGATAAACTTATTTATTATTGAAAGAAGCCTCTTTTAAGAGGATCAAATCATATTATTTATCAATTTGAATTTCTTTTTCAAAAATCACCCTTTGAATGAAATTACCCTTGTTGTTAGGTATAACTGCCCCATGCGAAACAGAGCCATAATTAATTGGCTAGTTAATTAGCAAAATCATTAATTATTTCTGCATGTGACTGACTGCCATACGATCGATTATTGTTATTATTGTTATTGCAGGTTGCATGCGTTGTCCATTACAATAATACTTAATAATTATTATTTTATTAATTAATTTTTATTTAGGTATTTATGTCGTGGGAGGTAGTTGCATGGAATTTTTCATATTATCCAATAACATAACCTTAATAAATATAAAATGTAGGTAATAATTTTGTTAACTGACGATTTGATTTAACAAAATAATGATTGTAATTGATTAAATTCTAAATACTCTATAATGATATTTCCCATTAATTCAAATGTAAGCATAATTCCTAATATGAACAATATTAATTCAAAATAATTCTGCATAATAATTCACGATTGTCGATTGTATCAAAAACCCCCCTGTTATAAAGACATTCTTTTCATTAGTTACTAATTAGCATCGTCATCTGTCGTTTCGAAATTAATTAGATTCATACACAATTTTATACGTAGCCGGTTTGCGTTGGTGTCATAACGATAATAATTTTTTGATCCTTTTGTGAGCTGCTTTAAAATATTTCAATATTACGGGGGCTTCCTTGGAAATAGCGCTTTTAATCCTATCGCTATTGTTATATTTTTCGGCGTGATTTTGCTGATAAAATCGATAATCCCTGTTGGCGCTTGGTGGTTTTAAAAAATCGACTGAACAGGTGGAAACGAAAGAATTTGGCATGAATTCAGAATTATTGTTCCGGAAAAATTAACCATCAATAATATGACGGTCTAGAGGCGGAAATCATTTTTACAAAGAAAATACCGTGCAACCGAAACCGTTGGCTGCGTCATTGATCTCAAATAATGAACAATCAATTACCGGCCGATACGATCGGTGGATTTTTGATATCTTGATAGTACCAGCAGCGAGTACACCGAAAACAATTGTTTCTAATTCAGATGTCCAAGTGTAATCAAACATAATCAGCGGGCGGCATTCGTAAAAGAAGAAAACGAAGAAAAGTCCCGGACGAAAATTTGTCTTCATTAAGTTACAGTGGTTACCGACCTCCTGGCGAGAACAATGGGTACTGCTTGTCATACTTCTTTGCTACTCATGTTCATATATCACCGCATTTTCAACTGTTTATTATTTTTTTTTCGAGCCAACAGAAGGTAGCTGACTATTTGCGGTCAGAACAAGATGTCAAACATATCCGTGTGATTGACACACCCATTAATTTGATTTTCTTTACGATTGTGATTGATTATTTATCGGTTTTGTTTCTCACACCACGTGTCGAGTATCGCCAATTTCGGGCTACGAAGGCGATTTGTTGGGCTCGGTAGGTGAATTGCCAAATTTAAACTTATATTTTTCTGGCCATTGAAATGAAATATTACGTGCGATGTTGGCAATTTTAAGGTACATCTCTGTATCTATAAGTTTGGGAGGGTAGTATGGTGGTATGCCACAGCAATTAGGCCACATTAGGCCCAATTGTGCGCCTCCACAAGAGGAGAGGTCATCCTCAACTCGCCACCTGGGCTAGTGATTCCACGTAGGCGATGACGTCGAAGAGGGCGGTACCTCTGATCTCTTCTAGCGATGGGTACGATTGACCTAATCTGGCTCTGCGTATTGGCGAAAGAGCAGTGCAGTCACAGAGAATGTGCTATTTCGTCTCATTTTCTTGATTACAAGCCCAACACAAGGATGTGGTACTGAGATGCAACCTAAACAAATGTTTGTTTAACTGACAGTGGTCAGTCAAGGTGCCCGTTACTGGGCGTAGCCTTTTCCTGGTCAACGACAGCTTGTGGTTCGCTGCAGCTTTATCTGGGTAATTTTCAAAGAAAAACACAAAGTCTTCCTCCACAAATAAACTTTAATTATTTTATAGAGCCCTACATGTTTCGGAACTAGAAAGTTCCATCATCAGGGGCAAGTATCCTCAGAATAAGTGCTCTTAACACATCATCACTAGATAAATTTCAGATGAGGTCGCTGGATTAGCAAACGGTGGAGGAAAATCAGAAAAGGCGGTCAAAAATTCAAAAAAAGAAAACAAATTAAAATACAATAAGAATTAAAAAAATAAAACGTATATTCTGAATAAAACTATTTAGGAACATGCAATAAGGAACTTTTAATTTTCTTTGTTTTTCAGTCTTATTTTAATTTAAATTTATGGAGAGACACGATGTAAGGGCTAGGGCTCTCCACAAAATATCTGTATTTTTTTAATTTTATCTGGGTAGGTTAGCAGTTTCTTGGGTATTGAATAATTTCAAAGTATAAAATCAATTGCTGGTAAGACACTTTAAATAAAATCAATAAATAGAGGTTAACTCTCAGTTTCATCATTTCATCAAATTAAAAAAAAAATATATTACTATGTACCTCAATATACTTGCCATATAAAGTCAATACTAGTCGCTGGCCATATCATTATCATCCAGAAAACTAATAAAAAAAAAAAAAAATGATCGAAAATTGTATTGATAAATATGGTCAGCTTCTGCTTAAGGCCGCAACAACGATGAAAAAGCTGTGCTCTGATTGGTTGATTTTTCGAAACTTGTTTTAAGTATTTTAAAAAAACGGCACAACAGAATTGGCTCAAATTTGGTATAAACATTCATTGATCCATTATCTACAATTCGCTTATTTCAGTTTTTCGATATTCTGCCTTTTTTTAATTCAAAAATCATGTTCGCAACCACCAAAACAACTAAATGCGTTGGTGGTTGCATATTTGCATGTTTATCAAGCTCGGATCCGGTGAAAAGCATATTTTATTGATAACCACGAAAAAGTAAAAAAAGCGAATTGTAGATAATCTACCAGATAATGGTTATGCCAAAGGATTTTGGAAATTATTGCGGATTTTTGGGGATGATATCCTAAAACGAATTTTGAAGGTGGAAATTTGACAGTTACAGTTCAAGTAATTTTAAGTAGATGGCGCCACGGCAAAAAAGCTACATTGGAAGCATCATAATTATATATCTGTCTTTCTCTTTCACTGAGTGTTCCACCGACAAACAGATTTTGTTTTTGACAAAAAATAAAATATTGAACCGTATGTGTAGACTGGCGTCATATATATAAAATGTATTCGTCATTTTCAAAAACTAAATTTAAACATGGCGGCCATTAACGCGGCCTTAAATAATAAATTCAATAAAATCAATTTGCACCTGTATGTAATCGAAAGTTGGGCTAAATAGTCACGAGATATAATAGAAATCCTCAAATATAAAGGGTTATAGGTTGAAAATTGATTAGTTTTTGATGATGAAGTACTCAATAATTTTAAATTAAGAGCATATGATGTTGTCCAACCTTGACTTCTGTTCAGATTACTGATTGATTATCATTGATAAAATATAACTACATTTTTTAAATATGGCGGTACTAAAAATTAAGTAGAGATAAAATCTATAGTAAATACGGTAAATCAAAAATCGGAAATAATTATTTAAAGCTCACTTCGGTGTCAAGAATGTAATGAATGACATTGAAATTTCAAATATTTAAATGTAATGTCCGTAAAAATTCAATCAATTATGGTAATTGATCATAAAATAGATTTAATAAAAAAGGTAATAAAAGTTATAATTGAAACTCTATACAAGCCTCAATTCTAAGAAAAAGGTAGAGTACGGTAGTCGGTAGCCATCTATTTTTGGTCACTTGACGAGGGAAGTTGCAGATTCTAGCCTGGAATGAAGGCTAGAAGTTCAGTTTCCTTCGTCAAATGTGGGGTACACGTACCGACACGTCAGGCACTTGATTCTTCAAGAGCTCTATGCCCAGAGATGTGGGCTCGTTGAAAATGGATCCCATGAGAAAAAGGCTCCTCGGAAAAAAACAGCTCCCCTGAAAAAACAGCTCCTCGGAAAAACGGCTCCTCGGAAAACCCTAAGTAATAGAGGCATTCCATGAACAACCGTTACTTGAAAAAAATTAAAATGGACTTACTACGAGGGGTTGGAAATTCAAACTCAAATAAAACGGTAATCGCAAAACTTCCGATTTAATTTTTTTCGGTATTAAATGGATTATTGTCACGCAACTTTATCTCGTTAAAACAGTGCCTGATGGCCGATAAGGTATTTTTCTTCACGAGAAGGGTAATCACAGTTGAGGAAGATGGCTGCCCTCCCCAGCCAGAGTCAACCTTTCAGGGCAACGTCAAGATTAAAAAGGGAAGAAAAAAACGGATAATCTCTACAGGCAGGGCTTCCTTCCAAAAAATAGCCCACGGAAAGCGTTGGTACAACACTGGTACTTCAAACTTAAACGAAAATCGTGCCCTCTACTTTAATAAATTGCTATTGTTATTGGCGACAGAAATCTTATTTTTTTTAGTCACCATTGACAGTATTAATTCAAATTTATATTTTAATTGGAACAAAAACGGAAATCATACTAGTAGCATTTTACATGCTACAGTATAAAAAAAGATCTGTCTTGGTTGTAGGTCGTTGGTTATTAATTTACCGCGTTTTAGCCTCGTTTTGACAATATTCAAATTTTGTTGTCGTTTTCAGGGAAACGGGTATCTCCAAAAAGCTCAACCTGGGAGCCACATCCGGACCCGTCCCGACTCCGGGCGGGTTTTCGCCAGTGATTTCCGCCGCAAAAACGCTTTCCCTACGGGATTCATCTTGCGCCGAGAGTCTCTGGAAGATGCCGCACAAAGGTAATTATGTGTGTTTATGTTATAATTAATGAACCGAGTTTGGATTTGTGTGTTGAAGATAACATAATTATAAGTTTCTATAGTGTTTCTATCAGAAACTTCATGAAATTGAAATACAGGGTAGTTTTTCAGGTAACTCACAATAATAACCAAGTTGGCTTAATCAATAGAGCAAGAATGTACCCAAGTTTTCAATTTTATGCTACATAATTTTTACGATCACTAATTTTCATGAATCGAAAAATAACTAGTCATAAGTAAGGTAAACTCTTCATCATCAGGTTAAACACTTCCTAACGCCAATTAGTGTGGACCATTAACATCTTAGATTCGAAAAGTATAAATCAGGAAACTTTTATCCTTTTATATAGGTATCAGAATTCTGGAAAATCTTGACCAAGTCTTTTCAAATTTTGGTGGAAACTTAGTTAATAAAAGGAAGGTTACTAACAATCTCCTTTTCTGATCCTCTGGATTGCGAGGCTGGGAGGCAGGGGAACCAGAATCAGGTTGGAATTTCTTTCGAATGGTACCCCGAGGTTTATCGTCAGGGCCTGTATAAGAAGCTGAAATACTGGAATTGAAAATAATGCTAAAAGAATCTTTCGAGATCAAATTGAGTAAGGTAGTTTCCTTTTGAAACTACTTTTTTCACACTGTGGATATTGTGTCTACGTCTACGCTCTTAGCAGTTTAATAGCAACTTTATCTAGATGAGCAGTTATTTCTGAAATGAAGTCCTCTGCTTTGAACTTTCTGTTTCAAGTCATTGTCCACACATTCTCTATTTGTGGTTTGTACCAATGAGAATAATTTAATCCCCTTTGAGGATATGTCTTGAATTATCTACATCCATACTTATCCTTCAGTAGTTAATTTCTGGATGTGTTCCGAAAATTTAATTATTATACTATTATTACTTCAAATATAAGGTTTAGTGCTTGAAGATTTACCCAACCAGCTATGGTTTCTTTGTTAGGCTGATGTAATTTGAAATAGGGTGTCCCAGCCGACAGTGACCCATTTTAAATGCTTATAACTTTTAAACCAGGTGAGCTAACTACCTGCGGTTTGTGCCATTCGATTTCTCTTGGTCTAAAGTTTTTTCTAGTAGGTTTCATTTTTTTTTTAAAACTCATACAGGGCGAGTAAAAAAAAATCCGTTTTTCAACACCGAAATTCTCCACTATTTTCAATAGAACGCCCTGTATATCGCAACGTCAAAAAATAGATTCATGTTTAAGGTATCCATGTACCAATAGACATCGTCCCTAAAACTTGAAGTTTTAGCCGTAAAAAATCAAATTCGTATTCTTTGTATTTTTGCTAACACCTATTTACAAAGCCTCAACCTTATGTTTGCCTAATAAAAAGTTAATAACAACTGCATAAAACTATACAAAAAGCTGTAGGTACCTATATGTATATGTTAGCCATTATGTTCCAGGCATTTGTAGATCAATAAACGGTTGAATGAATTGTGTAACATTTCCTGGAGAATCGCTTCAATGACATTAAAAATGTTCCACTTAAGATCTTTCAGGCTATTTTAGCAAAATATTGCCGCATCTTTCCTTGACATAACGCCAGAGAAAAGAGTCTAGAACTCTCAAGTCAAGAGAGTAAGGTGTCCATTCTATAGGCCAGCGGCCAGCTCTCCTTATCCCTCTTTCCCCAAATGTCATATCTAGTGATTCCCTTGCTATTAACGAATAATGAGGTGGGGGCATCATCCTGCTGAAAATAGATATCATTCAAGATAACCTTCTGTGTCAACTATGGGAAAAAGAACATATCAGTGTATACAGTTTCTGTTATTGTTGGTTCATCAATGAAAATGGTCTGTATTTTTTCTCAATAGAGATTGCACACCAAACTGTTACTGTTGGGGTATCTCTCTCTATTTAATGAGTTCCAGAGAAAATCTGACAGTATACATCCCTGCCGTACTCCTCGTAAAATTTCCACTTCCTCTATTTTCTCATGATTGATTCTAACAGAAACTGACTGATTCCAGTTTAGGTTTTTGATTATGCGTATGTCTTTGCCGTCAATTACATTATCTTGCAGAACTTTCCTCATTTTGTTGTAGTGAACTTTATCAAATGCCTTTTGATATTCAATAGAACAGGCATACACATTACAATTCATATCTCTGCAACGTCGGAAGAGCACCTGTACACTGAATAGTTGGTAATACTTGCTCTTCGCAGAATTTGTACAATCTCATGCATAATTTTTGAAAATAATTTCAACAAGTAACTCATGAGGCTTATTGTTCTGTAATCACTGCATTTTTTGGCACCCTGCTTTTTTGGAAAAACTATAAACTCTGATCTCAACCAGGGGCGTCGCGTCGAGGGGGGGGGCGGGTACTGGGGGTAATTACCCCCCCCAGGATCGAATTATTAAGAGAAAAATCACGATGCCAAAAAGAAAATACATAATATATTGAAAAAAATACATTTTTGTTTTGTTTTATTTTTATCACAAATGAAATAATTGTTCTGGAAAAGTGAATGACCTTGAAATTTGCGAAAAATTTCGCCTGGGGCGCGTTTTTGGAGGGCGCCCCCTCAGCCCCCCCGTACCATTTACCCCCCCCCCAGACTACTGGTCACGCGTCGCCACTGATCTCAACCATTCCTTGGGTAGTTTTCCACTGTTTATTTCATTGAAAATGACAGTTAATTGTTTGTTGAAATCTTCATCAAAGAGTTTGATGATCTCTGACTGCACTTCATCTAGACCAGCAGCCTTTTCATCTTTGAGTGACAGTATTGCTGCCTCAACTTCATCTAAAAGGATGCCCGGTCCTGTTATTTCGTTCGTTACTAGTTGTTCTACTCTTAGGTCTGAGAACAATTCTTTCACATAATTTTTCTATGTTAATTTTATTTGTTCAATGTCTACAATTATTTCTTCCTGGTAATTTTCCATTTCTCCTATTGATTTCTTCTTGTATTCACCTGTTATTTTTTTGACCTTCATATATACACCAAATGTGTCGTGCTTTGATTGTGATATTTCAATTTCTATGTGCATTTGTCTTTGAGTTCTTGTGCTTTTGCTTCTCTAATTTTTCTTCTAATCTGGTTGTTAATTGACCTATATCTGTCCATGCCATTATTTATTTTGTTCTTTCTTCTTTCTTCCATCAAGTTCAGGATCTCATCAGTCATCCAGGGTTTCCTCTCGTCTACATTTACTATTAGTATTTCCTTCTTTATTTTTTTCGTTACCTTGACTTCTACTTATTTTTCCTCAACTTCTGAGCTGTTTTCCACATCAGGTGAAGCGTTGCTTAGCATGTCCATGACTTGAGTTCTTACCTTTGGCTCATTGATTTTTCTCCTATCATAAGTAGTTGTATGTTGTTTTATTTTTAGCCTCTTCCATTGTACCCTGAATTCGGCCACTAACAAATTGTGATCAGAGTTTAGTTTATATATTTCACTTTACAGGTATTTTTATATCTTTGATTTACCATTATTTAGTCGATTTGGTTTTGTATGATTGTACTATCTTTTCCATCTTTTGGGGCGTTTCAGGTATACAGGGTGTAAAAAAATAGTTTACCGAACTTCGAGGGGTGATACTATGAAAATAAGAAAAAAAGTTCCTATGAACATAAGCCCTAAGATGCTTTTTTGTTTTGTGAGTAATTACATGCTACCCTTATGGAAACTTCCAAATTTCAGAATTTTTACGACTTTTTCTACTATCATCATACGCTTTGGCATCGGAATGTATGCGAGAACACCAAATTTCAAGGAAAATAGTTTGCCACTGTTCTTGAAAATAAATAAAATCTATTATTTTCATCTACCGTTTGCAGGGCTGTAACGTCTTCAGGGAGCGTCTTATGGCATATGTTCGTAGGATTTTTTTTTTAAATTTCCATATGTAGTATCACCCCTCGAAGTCCGGTACACTATTTGTTTTACACTCTGCTTAATATGCGCGGAGGTAGCTCGAAAAATGTGCTCAATATGACCAAATCATTTTCTCCTGCGAAAGTACAAAGTTTTTCTCCACACTCATTTCTTTCTCCAAGGCCATGGGGTCTAATATGGTTTCCTGATCATCCTCTTCCAACTTTTGCATTGAAGTCACCCATCATTATAAGCAGTTATTTTTCAACGATTTTTTTAGATGAGGGTGTTTAATTCAGTGTAAAAGTTACTTATATCTGCGTCTTCATGTTCACTTGTGCTTGAGGGTGCATAAACCTGTATAATGTTGACATTTGCTGGAATTGCTTTTATTTGAACTAGCATTATTCTTCCATTGACGGGCACAACGTTTGAGACATTTTCTGCAACTGATTTGTGCAGGATGATTCCCACTCCTTATTCATGTTAGACGGGACATTCCGAGTAGTACATTCCATGCTCTTGAATATCACAGTGGTTTGCATTTGGCCATCTCATTTCACTCATTCCCATAATTCTGATTTTCAACTGTTTCATTTCTTTGATGGCGTTTTGTATTTTACCTGTTTGGGCCACGGTTCTCACGTTCCAGGTAAAGTTCGTTTTTTTTTAAAGATAATTCTCCAAGTCAAAAATTTAGTAACTTTGTTGGCAACACAAGCCTTTTCTACATAAAAAATTTGAAAGCATTGACACTTTTACATTATATTGCCAACATAATGTCATTTTGACTTTTATCTTTAAAAAAAAACAGATTTTACCCAGTTTTGTACATTGTTCATATCTGCTCCCCCCGGAGATCTGACTGGGGTGCTTACTCCGGAATCGTTATTTAGTTTGAATATTGCGATGTGGATGAATAATAGGGTTGCCTTGAAGCCTTTAATGCGGTAGTACCCATGATGCCTTCTGCATACCAATGCCGTTGACTAATGTCTTAGTTCATCTGCCTTTGGAGTTAATTTCTCGACCCCAGGACAATGAGTTGCCCTACCACTTGCCAATTCTTCAACCCGAAGCTGTTGACTGACAAGAGGGGATTCCTTATATCGGTAATCACTGAGT